CTGCAGCAAGGGTCCACTGACCCAGCAGCCTCAGCTCATGGGATGTGCTGTTATCCACACAGCCGCCCCAAAGCTCCTCTCCAGAACAGATGGTGGCAGAACTGCCTGAAGCCTCTCCACAACCCTGTGTGCATCCTGCCCACTCCAGGCTGCCCCACAGGAGCAAGAGAGCCTTGGGCGCCTGCCCACACCTCCTTGTCCCTCATCCCAAGAAGAGTGTCACTCCCAGGAGACAGAGTGACCCGACTGTCAGACTGAGGGCTTAGAGCCAGAGTAGAGCTCGGCCAGGAAGAGGACGACGAGGACACAGGCTGGGCTGTTTTCCCACTGCCCCCACCCCACGGCCACGGCCACCATGTCTAGGAGCAAAGCTGGTCGCCTGAGAGGTCTTGTGGTGCCCACCTCAGTCTGTGTGTATCACACACACCATTTCATCTTTGTCATCACAAACACTTGTGACAGCCCAAGCGGTGCCAAGGGTCACACAGACACGATTATGTGGTCCCCATTTTGAGCGACCCCAGGAGAATCTCCTGTCATCAGGCCTCCACAGAGCCAGGCAACCTGTCGAGGACACATAGACAGACAGCGTCTGTGACACTGGGACCCCCAGCTCATCAATGATGGACAACTCCAGCAAGATCAGCTTGCTCTCGTTTACTTCACCAGGAGACCCACCCGCTGGATGCAGGTGGAACCACCTCACACCAGTGAAAGTCTGTGAGCCCCAAGGAGCAAACGGTTTACAGTCCCCTTGGCAAGGACTGGTAACATGGCTGCAGCCTGGCCACCAGCTCCTTCACCCTCCTGGGATGGGTTCTCATCCCATCATCCCCCATCATGACAACCATGGCCACTGCCCACTTCTGGTCCCCAGCACCAGAGGATGTGAGAAAGTGGCGCTGAGACAATCATTCATTCACTCACACCTTCATTCCTTTGAAACGCAGATCCACCGGTCCAGGCCCTGAGGCTCAGCAGTGAACAAAACAGACATAAACCCCGGCCAGGTAGAGCTGATCCCAGATTCATCTTCCAGACCAACCAGGCGCTGCTGGGAGGACTGCGACCAACTTTTTATGTCTGCCACAGCAATGGGTGAGGACAAAGGACACATTTGCCCTAATAATAACCCTTCTTCTCTCACCATGTGCCACTGCTTTGCAAGACCGTCTGACGATGTCTACATGAGCAGAGACCAAGCACGAGATTCCCACGGGCTGGAGGAGCGTCTGGTTGCAGACTGGCCTGTCACTCCTGACCACACAACAGACAGAGCCCATCACAGCACCCTCCCCCACGATGCCTGGTACATCTTAAAACCCTCAGCCATGAGCCACGGACCCCAGTCCTGCTGAAGTGTTCAAGGGCCTTGTGGTGGTGGAAGAGGGGGAGGGACAACTGGGCTGCAATTTGCCCCTGTCCCCACCCCAGCCTGCCCCACCAGGCTCCCCTGCCGTTTCTCAGGTTGTGTGAGAGGGTGCAGCAGAGGACTCCACTGTGAAAAACTGAACAGCCAAGAAAGGGTCTCCACATGTGACAGTAGGAGTAGGGCTCAGTCCCGGTCACCTGAGCACAGCTGTTCACAGCAAGGCCGGCAAGGCCACCCCAAGTCACCTGCTCTCCTGAGGCCGCAGTCAGGTTAGCAGTCGGGACAGGAAGCAGCTCGACACAGCCTTTGTGAGTGGGAATTCCCAATAGGGTGCGGAAGACTGTGGAGGCAGTGGCACCTCTGACACGATGACCCTTCTCTGTAGCAGAGGACCTCGTCTGGAATGACCCACCAGAAACCACTGCCCTCCACCCACCCTCATCCCGGTCACTCTTGGGATGGCTCTGCCAGGAGACTGTGTCTGTCTCCCACCAGCACCCAGGTCTCCTCATCCCCACTGAGACCAACTCTGGGGCATGGGCTCTACATCCTACAGGCCCAGGACAGGATATGTGGAGGGCTCACAGACTTCTGGGGAAGTCCAGATGCCACACCAGCCTCTCAGGGGTGGGCAGACCCAAGCTGGTCCTGGGCACCTCGGTCACCACCCTCCCAGCTGTGGGCCACAGGCCAGGATGGGCCTCCCTGGGTGGGGTGGAAGTAACAGCCCACTCCTCAGAATTCATGCTGCTTGTGCCCCTCCTGATGTCCAGGAAAGTGCATGTCCCCTGTGCTGGCACAGCCACTGCTACACAGCAGATGCTCTCTCACCTCACTCGGCTCGACAAGCCCTGCCCAGCAGGCCAAGAAAGAGGAGTTCTTCCTTTCCACATCCTCCCACCTCCACCCCCGGCTCCCTGTCCTCGCTCAGCAGTGACAGTGACCACATCCGCCTGGGGCCAGACACAGTGGCTCACACACAGCCAGAGGCCCTGTCATTCATCTGTCAGCCCATTGAGAAGCCACAGCTCTGGGCCTGCAGCCTGACACTGAGTCTCGTCCTCTAGGTGACCAACCGAGGACACTGCTGCCTCCCCACTGCCAAGGGGCACCAGGAGGATGGGCTACAGCCCAGGGTCTCACCTGGGCACTGCCTTCTGAACGTCTGACTCAGAGCAGGACTGGGAATGACATCAGTAATAGTGACAGTGCCAGTCATACGCCAGATCTTACGTTGTGGGCTCCACCCATCCTCCAGTGGGAAACAGGTCAGGCAGGGCCAGCAACTTGCCCTTGACGCTCAGCAGTGATGGTCCAGCTGGACACTGCATCTTGGAGGCCAGACTCTGAGCAGCAGGTTTCCAGTGGCCAGTGAGGGTCTGGTGCCTCCTCCTCTCAGCCACAATCTCAGTGTCAGACCCTCAATGTGCCACATGAAAGTGATCTGAGACAACTTTGGAGGGTGGTGCGTGTACCTGTGCAGGCTGTGTCATAGGTAGTATGTGACATGGCTGTCACAAAGGCACCAAACCCCCATTCATGCAAATGTGGAGCCAGGGCCATCTCTGCTGCACTTGACACATTACAACTCTGACCTTGTCCGTGTAGAAGACAAGACTGGGATACACAGGTCAGCTTCAGGGGTAGGAGCCAGCGGAAGAGGGCAATCTGTTGGGTTTGTTCCCAGCTGCACACACACCAGCCCCCTTCCCTGCCTGCTCTGTCTGGTCACCCTGTGTCCATTAGGGAAAACACAACAGAAGCCTGACTAGGAGACCAGGCACACACCAAGGCTGGCTGGTGCCCCAAATGGCTGGTGCCTGGCTGGGAACCATGTGCTCGGGCCTGAGGTGACCCAACTTCTCTTCATCCCTCTTGTCCTTCTAGCCCAGGCCTTGAGTTTGTCCTGGGGTGTGCACGCCACTTGTGTGTCAACGCTGCCCAGCCCTGTGCTGTCACATCATGGGGAAGGCAGGCCACAGGACGGAGCTGGACCTGAGGGTTCACAGGCAGCATCTCCCCTCCACACAGATGAGGAAACCAAGGCTCAGAGATAAACGGTGGCCCCAGGAGTTCCCCACATATGCCGACCCCAAGCTCAGCCCAACACCACCCTGATTTCCTTGGTGGGAACCGACTTCTCCCAGCATCCTGTGGGATCTGTCTTGAAAGTGCCCTGGGTCCTGGGTCCCAGTCCCTGACCGTGGTCACCAGGTAATGGCCCTGTACATGAAACTGGTTCCAAGGTAGCTTGCCACAAACCTCACGCCTGTGCCACACAAACCCTTGGCCAGGACCATCTCCAGCCCCAAAACTGCCTCTGGTCCACTTGGGTCACAAAATACAAAAGGAGAGAAGTAAAACAAGGAAATTGACCAAAGTGCAGCGGGCGTCTGGATGGTGCCTCAGACCACAGTCAATGCCATGTTCCTCCTCCTGTTTCTAATTTTCCCGTATGAAGCAAGTTCTGCAGTTATGAAGGCAAAAATAGCTATCGAGCCCAATTTGTTCTTAAAATACCAGGTGAGTACTCACCCACATTGCCCCTATTTACTTCCCTGACTGAACATTTCCAGGGGAGGAGGAGGGCAGCAAGCGAGCAATTTCGGACCTCGGTATTGAGGTAGGACTCCATCCTTTCTTTGGCTTCCTAAAAGCCTCTAAACCTCAGCTGCTTCGAGCAACAGGTGTCCGTCAGTGAGCCACTTTTGGTTTTATTGTAGACCTAAGGGCACGGGAACCAGTCAAGGACTAACCTTTAACCCATGACAAGGTCAGAGAGCCAAGCTTCCTGAGCTGGGACTTCCTGGATGCTCTCCAGCCCGGTCCTGCCTGGGAACACAGCACCATCTAGACAGACATGGCCGCCCTCCCAAGACCCCCCCACAGCAGCCCAAGACCCTCAGGGCAGACCCCGAGGGCCATACCCTGTCCCAGGACAGCAGAGACTGGCGGGAAGCCAAGGCTCTGGCTGTGAACACTAAGACCCTGACAAAGCCACCAAGCAGCTGGGACACAGCAGAGCCAGGCCACTTCCTCCATCCTGGGGCCGGGCACATCCGGTGACCTGGCCGATGGAGATGCCTAGAAGCCCGTGGCACCCATCTCTGGAAACCGTTCTGTCGGGTCTGGTGAAATTCTGAACCCCAAATTCGATGGTCCACAGCACATCGAGTCTCACCGGAGCCCCTTGCCACCATCACAGCTGTCCTGTTCACCTGGGCCATCCTGGGGCTCAGAGGGAGCCATGGCTGCAGGTCAGAGAAGCCCAGATAGCTTCCAGGCTCCTCCCACGCCCCTGCACCCCTGTGGCTGCTGCAACTCCACACTAACCCGGTGGCAAAAATCCTTTCTCCAGCCAGCACCTGCTGCACACATCGGACAGATAGAACAGCCAGTCCTCTACCTCCAAGGCTCTACATTAAACACATCTGGATGCACCAGGATACCACAAAGAGACACTGCCCATCGGAGGGGGGGACAGGTCCCCAAACCTCAGATCAACCATGTCCTTGTGCCACCCACATCCGAAGGCCCCCGAGGAACCCCAAGTTTCTGTGGAACCACAGTTTGAGACGCACTCCCACCAGGCACAGCATGGCCGAGTGGTGCCAGGTGGTGCTCCTACCTGGACGCCGCGATCTCCGCCTTCTGCCTGGCGATGGTGGCGGCCCGCTCGGCGGCCTCCACGGCGCGGTCCACCTTCTCGCGGATCTTGCTGGCGCGCAGGGGGATGAGGTTCTTGCGCTTGCCGCTCACCAGCATGTTCTGCTTGTATTTGCCCTCCTCCTTGGTGCCGTCGGGGAAGGTCATGCAGCCGTAGCCATGCCGCCGGTTGCTGGCCCACTCGCCCTCGTACTTGAGCCCATCCGAGCGCTGGCTCACGCCGAAGCCCGAGCGCTTGTCGTTCTTCCACTCGCCCACGTAGGTCTCGGTGGTGGTGGCATCGATGTCATCCTCGATGACGGCCAGCTCGGCCTCGGCCTCGCCCAGGCTGATGGTGGAGTGGATGTCGCTGGCCGTGGAGCTGACGGTGCTCATGCCGGCCTCGCTACGGAAGGAGCTCTGCTTGCTGCGCTGGCTGGCCAGGCTGCTCTTGGACTCGGACTTGCGCAGTTTCAGGCCGCTCAGCAGCGAGCGCCGGAACAGGCCCTTCTTCTTGCTCTTCAGGATCTCCGAGTCGCTGTGTGCCACCAGCACGAAGCCACCCCGGGACACGGCCGGGCTGCCGGCCACGGCCGGGGAGGCGTCCGGGTGCAGCGCGGTGCCATTGGTGTGCTCACTGCGCAGGGAGTTGATGGAGGTCCTCAGGGGCGAGCGGATGACCGCTGCCATGCCATAGGGGACACTCTGCCGCACGCCGTAGCCATGCCGCATACCGCCGACCCACTGGCCCTGGTACGTCCCTGGGGAGGCAAAGGAGAGAGGGGTGAGCTCCCCGAGGAGGACGCAGGGTCCTGCAGGGTGGGAGTGTCCCCTGTTCTGCCCACACCGCTCCCATCCTGGTGAGACCCAGGCAGGTGTCGGGTGAGGCAGACAGGCCTCCCGACGTTCCCCAAAACACTGCTGCCCTGCTTCCCAGGAACTGATTTCGTTCTTTCTTGGAGACCGGGCAGGGGAAGGGGTGTCACCCGTGCCCTGACGCACTGCGGAGAGGACTGGGGAAACCGCCTCCCCACTACTGCTCATTCAGTGGAAGGTCCTGGCCGGGGAGAGTGGCCCACACTGGGGTCAGAGCCCTGTGTCTGGCCCCCTTAGCGGGCGACAGGCTCCCACCACTGGAAATACCCAAAAAGAGTCTGGAAGCCCACTCAGCAGGGACACTGCAGGAAGGATTCAAGTGTATAGGAAGGGGCTGTGGCCATGACCTCAGAGCATTAAAATCAGCAGCCCTAACCAAACCCAAAGGGAGTCTGGGGTTCAGACAGACATCTGCACACCCTGTGCACTGCAGCACTGTCCACAGAACCCCAAAGTGGAAATCACCCAGGGTCAGCCAATGGACAAATGAGTCAACCAAACATGGCACACTCAAACAGTGGACCATTAGTCAGACATGATAAGGGAGGAAGCACTGGCACAAGAAAACATGGTGTCCAACAGAAGAAGCTGGACACAAAAGGCCAATTGGTAGTGATCCCACCTGTGTGGAGTCCCTAGAGGAGTCATCCATACAGACAGAAAGGAGAAAGGGGGCTGCCAGGACCTGGGGAAGGGGGCTAAGTGGACTACCTGCTTCTCAGGGACAAGGTTCCCATCTGGAGTGACAGGAAGGCCTGGGGACAGACGGTGGCAAGGGTACTACATACTGTGCCACTGAGCAGCACGCTTAAAAACCTGGCAGAATAGCACAGAGCTGTGGTCCCAGCAGTCAAGAGGCTGAGGCGGGAGGATCACCAGAACCTCTGAGTTCAAGGCCAGCCTGGGCAACATGGCAAACCTCATCTCAAAAAACCACCGCCAAACAGTGGTGAAAATGGTAAACTTCATGGGATACACAGCACAGTCAAATGAAAAGGGAGAATAATGGGTCCTGGGCTCATTTCTTGCTTGGCTGATTAGCTGTGTGACTTTGGGCGAGTTTCTGGCCCTCTCTGACTCTCTGACTACCGAGCCACAGGACAGGCACAAAACAACTCCACCCCAGGTCACAGTGAGAATTAGGAGACACATTTTTTTCCCTCGACCTACAGAAGTCGTACTTATTAGAGGAATCCTCACAGCATGGCCCCACAGAGAAGCTGCCACCCAGGGGAGCAGCTCTTCTGACCAGGGCAGCAGAAGCAGCCAACCAGATGCCTGGTGGCTGGAACTTACCCACTCACATACTGTTTGTCCCATACAGTATTGCTATGAAAAATTGGCAGATCCTTGTAGATCAGGTCTCTGTGTGCCCTAAAAAAATCAGAGGATCGGGCAACTCCAGATTGTGCTTTTCAAGTGGCAAAACGGCCCGGAGGCCAGCAGCAGCTGAGTCCTCAGACAGAGTACCACCTAAGTTCGCCTCACTCCCCACCACTCCCTACGCTCCCCTGCCCAGGCCGCCTCCTTCACTCTGCAGGGCAAAATCCAACCAAGCGTTGGGGCACAGAGGCCTGCAACCTATCCTCCAGGGATCTCTGCCATCGGTGCCCACTCCCTGCTGCCTTTGCCCACACACCCCGCGTCAGATGGGTTCTGAGCCCTCCCGGGCTGGCCTGTCTCTGAGCCTGTGTTCACAGGGACGGTCCTCACCCAAACTGCCCGCCCCATCCAGTCCGGTTCCTCCAGATCAACCCAGCTCATTCCCCCTCCCCCATAGCACCTCCAAGTGCCCCGGCCGTGGGCCAGCAGCACTGGGATCAGTGGGCCACACACTGCAGAATGACTCAGGATGGCACCGAGTCCTGGGACGTCCTGGAATGCATCCTCCCTGCTCCCCAGATATGAGCTCCCTGGGGAAAGGGTCAATTACAGTCACTTATCCTCCATGTGACATGTGGGCAAGAGAGGGGACATGGATGTGCATCAAGTGACCAAACAGAGAGCCTCAGACAGAGTCTGTCACCCCAAGAGATGGGTGCCTGCCCCAAATTTCGGGTTCTCTGCTGTTGACTGGCAGCTGGGGATGTGATGAGCACCTGCCTCACAAGTCATGCCCTGGGTTCCGTCCCAGCAGCACAAAGGAAAAGAAAAAGTGGTGTCGGCATGGTGTCTGAGGTTGGCTTCTCCAGGCCTGGAGCCCCAGGTGGGGACTCGGGAACAGAATTATTAGGAGGGGGTGTTGGAGGGGGAAGAGGAGAGGGAAGCTGAGCGAGGGGACCAGCTGCAGCCGGATCCCACAGGAAGCTCCATGGAGTAGGTCTCACCTGGAGACAAGGGCTGGACATCTGCATCCCCAGCCGGTTGCTTTGTACCACGAGGCTGCATTAGGCGCAGGGAGCCTGCTGGGGGAAGTGGCTACCTAGGCAGCCAGCTGGTGACCAGAACACTGAGAGCAACTTTGAACTCCGGGAAGAGGCTGGGTGACGGGGCCTCCCCAGGAGGCTAGAGGCCCCGAGGGCAGGGGCATGGGGTTGACCCCAGCAGCCCACAGCACACATCCTCCCTGACAGTCAGCCTGTACCTGGGCTTCCTGCCCGATGAATGGCCACCCTCAATCTCAGAGGACAGGTGGCCTGATGCAGAGAGGTTCCTCTGTCCATGGTGGGGTGAGGGGGACAGAATGACCATCTGACCAGCATGAGGGCGGCACTGTGAGTTCAGCCTCAGCTCCAGGGCTTCAGCTGTTCTCCCGGTGACCACTGGAACCAATGATAGAGCACTTTATCCAAGTAAAGATAACACAGAGCCATGTCACAGCACAGGGGTCAAGTGTATTACAGACAAGGCAAGTGCTTCCCAAACATCCCCAAACAGGAAGGTCCTTGCCATACACTTCCTTATTTATTGTGGTGCTGGAGATTAAATCCAGGGCCTCAGGCTTGCCTGGCAAGCTACACCCCCCAGCCCTGTGCTTGTATTTAAAAAACAAGAAAACACACACATTTCAAGGCCCCAACTGTGACTACTATGTTGGGATTTCCAGAGAGGATCAGGTGACATTCACCTGTCACAGCCCCTAGGCGATTCCTGCCATCAGGGACATCCCAATGTCCTGGGGACAACCATGGAGGTGAAGCCACAAGGACAAGTAGGCACCATTGCACAAACAGTGCACTGAGTTCTGGAACCTTCCTTTACAATACATCATGGATGTTCTCCCACTTTCCACCTCATTAGTCATGGCTGTGTAATCGTCCACTGCATGAGTGTGTCACAGTTGTCTCACCTATAAGCTGACCCTGGGTTACACAAGTCACTGTCATTTTAAATTTTTATTTATTCATTTATTTTTTAGTGCTGGGGATTGAATCCAGCACCTTACATCTGCTAGGCACATGCTACACCAGAGTTAAACTTCACTTCTCATTTTGGCATCTAACATTTCTACATAATGTTAAACTTTACCCTAGGACAAATTCCTAGTATAAAACTGCTTGCTCACATGGAAAGGTTTTTTTTTTTTTCCTTGCTTTTTTGGGGTGTTTTGATAAATTATCCTCAGGAAAAAAGGTGTAAGAATGGCCATGTCCCCATAATGTCACCACCATCACCACCCAATTAGTGTCACTTTTAAAAACCGTTCTTGGCTGGGCTCTGAAAAGTTACATCTTTTGGAATTTGCTATGGGAGGAATTGTGTTCACCCAAATTCCTATGTGGAAGTCCTAACAGCTCCCTAGCCTAGGAGCTCGTCCAACACAAGCTCTTTACAGAGGTCATCATGTAGGAAAAGAGGTGGACATGTGACAGATGCTAAGGGAACCAGGTTTGCTACAGTGCCGTGTGACAGGAATGCATTAGCCTCAGAAGCTACTGAGGTGCCCATCCTATCCTGGAATGGTGTAAAAAACAGAAAAGAAAGAAGAGAGACAAAACTGTGAGAAGAAAGCCAAAGGTCTTGGCCAGGAGGTCCCAGGCATTACTAAGAGTTCCAGACAGCAAGGCAGGAAAATGACTAAAGATGCAAAACCTGAATGTCCAGACGAGGGACCCACAGACACCCTGCATGGGGGGACAAGCCCCACCAAGACATGGTAGCATGCAACCTCAAGAAAAAAACAGAAAAGTAGAGCGCATCTGATAGACTGACAAGCAGAAGGGCTCAGGACTGCAGACGAGCAACGCTGCACCCAGAACCACGCACACGCACAGCCTTAGCAGAAACGATTTCCAATTCATCATTCAAGTCATCAGGCTACAGAAACTTCTTCCACGTGTCTTTTCTCAGAAAGCTTCTGCAGGATGTATTCCATCAAAATCAGGGAGAAAACCAAGAAAGAGGAAAATACAGGGAGGCAAAGGGGACTTCCAAGGAGACTAGGGGACTGGGGGAGGGCAGCCAATCAACAAATAAACATGGGGTTTTGTATTACAGATGGAGGATCTGATAGAGTTGAGAGAAGAGCTGCCCCAGGGGATGTTTTGTTGCGCATTTGGAGGGTAGGGGAAATTAACCAGTCATATAAAGAAAAGCAGGCAGTTGAAAAAAATGAGGCAATTACTAACTCAGACCGTTGCTTGAGTACATGAAAACCATTCACAACCACTGCTTGGCTCGGCGTAAGCCATCCTTGCACAGTCAGAGCAACAATTCAATTTTCAAATTGTGTATAACAATACTGGGGTGTCTAAGGAAGGGGCGTCACCAGCAGATTGAAAATCTCCACCTACCATACAGGAAGTCAATGGACACTGGTGGAAGTAGTGAACGCACACACTTGGGAAGGCGGCGGTCGGACTGAAAGGGTGCCAAGTCACAGTCCTGGGAAGCGGGAGGAGGTGAGTGTCGTCCTACCTGAGCGCTGACCGCTGCCTTGGTTCTA